CAGAACATAAGCGTGCAAACGACAATTCATATCAACACAAACGAACACAAATTTAACGTGGTTCACTAACACAATGTGTGCTAGCTAATCCACGGGCAGGGGGGACAAATTTCACTAATTTGAGGAGAGTACATGTTACAAACCAAATTCCGGACGGACAAACCAAACAAACTAACCTGACTGACCTTACTACAGATAAGGGTGGTGAAGAGTATTTATAGAACTCTTCTCCTAATCCCAAACAAAAAACCAAACACCTTTTCCAAACATACAAGAAAAAGGCCAAGGCTCCAGTGGAATTCTGGTCGAGGGAGAGCTTCTCCGTGACAAATCTGTTGTCGGTGGTGGCGAAGTCGAGGATCTATGTTTGTTACAAGAGACGGCTACCTCCAGCAACGACAAGTAGAGGAGGATGGCAATGTTGTTGCCGGCGGCGGAGTAGAGAAGGATGGTGGTGCTGTTGTCAGCATCGGGCTCCAGCTCCAACGAACATGATGATCGGCGTGAGGGACGAGATGATTCTGGGAAAGGCTGTGGAGTTGAGGGCCGTGACGGTTTTTGGGGGGGGGGGGGATTGAAAGGCTGAGGGATCGGCAAACAGACAGTACGATTGGTGTGCGCTCTGGGGCTTAAGGGCGAACATGCAAAGGAAGAAGAAAGGGTTACATTTGGAAAATGAAAAGTTAAAACGAGAGATTTAGAAATAGCTGGTGCTCATCGGCTATTTTTAAAACCCACGATTAAAGGTTTTTAAAATCTCTAATATAAAATTTTGGAGGCTGTCCAAACAAGTTATTCTTTTAAAATCCGGGATGGTGATGGATTATATCACAATCCTGCCCCAATCCCTTATCCAAACGAACCCATATAATTTTGCAGGAGTAGTAGGTGATTGTTTTTTTTATTACCCAGGAACCTCAACTCCACATACCACTTTGTGAAAGCGGGTCCTACTAAATCTGGGGGCCACCTGCAATCAAATTCGACACCAACGGGGTTTGGATTCGAACATGGGATCTGCAACTCTCAAACCTTCACTGTTGCGATAGCTTTACCATTAGGCTATCTTACCTTTGGTAGTAGGTGATTGTTATCAAAAGATGATTGTAATGATTTGGCAAGTTTATGTTGTCTGCATGTATACTGTGAGAGGAGTATTTGCAGTTGCAAATATTCTATTAAAAAAGTGTTGTTGATTCTCATTTCTCAAAGCTAGGGCTGACTATTTGGATCGGGTTTATGGTTTTACCTGAAATTGAATCTTATAATCCAGATCGAGACCAGAGCGAGACCGGATAGCAAACAATCCAATCTCATATTTGGGTTTAGATTTGAGGTAAAAAATTGTTCGGGACCTAACCGAAAACCGGATAAAGACCGGATAAGAGAGTCCAACACCCAAAACTTAACCAACTCCTCACCCTTCCAGGCTTCATGCCACTGAAATCCCCACACAAGCTCAATCTAAAATCAAGACCGAATCGGTACCGGACCGGATCAAGACTAGATTGTATCCAATCCCGTCTTTGGTCCTCATATTCCCGAAAAATTTGGACTATGATCAGATCAATTCGGGCCAGTTTAACCGGACCAGACATTATAACCACCCGTACTCAAAGCTCATAATATATGGTTATAAAATCCCAATTATAAATCATAATAGGATGTATGTATTGGATGTGAGGATTTCAATTTGGTATTTGACAAAAATACATGAGGTGAATCTCGAATACACATTTAATGTACTATTTGTGAATTACAAAAATAGTATATGATGCACTAAAAAGAACTATTTGTAAAATTTTAAAGTTATGATATTATAACGCAAGTAAAAAGTTCGAGACCCTGAAAAGCAGCTAATGAATCAAAAGCTTTGGACATATTTATAAACAAAATCAAACATCGGATATGAAATTGTAATAAAAAAGTTTAGCTACTAAGATGCAATTGTCAGAAGAAACATAATGTTTGGCCAAGAAATAACCAAATCCCAAATTAAAAATCATAAACTCTGAAAATTTATAAAGTTGCAAACAAATAGTCATTAAAATTCACACATCTATGCGCCCCTCATAACTTGTAAGGATATCACAGAGAGTTAAGTATCATATAGTACCTTAATAATTTAAACTCCACATTTCCATATCGAACCCTATCAAAATTTTCTCTCTCTCCAACATAACCAAAAAAAAATCTCTACCTCCATGGTAAAAGATTTGAGGACGTCATTGTTTTTTTTTTACACATTCTAGACCATATTATTTTTAACAAGTTCTGCCAAAATTGAATTACCCGTAGGGGTGTCGGTTCGGGTCGGGTTCGGTTACCCAAACCGAAACCCGAAAAAACCCGAAAACCAGAAACCGAAAATCACCAAAACCGAACCCGAAAACCCGAACACTTAAAAATACGGGCTGAGTTCTATTTATTGGAGATTTTTATTCGGAACCCGAAAAACCGATAAGCAAAACCGAACCCGAAACCCGAAACGAACCCGAACCCGAAAAACCGAAAATGTATATAATCGGGTCGGTTTCGGGTAAACCCGAAAAACCGAACCCGAATGGACACCCCTAATTACCCGTCTATAATCTTTCAACAAAAGGAAATAATTTAGTTTGTAAACAAGATGTCAAAGATCCTTCGCTACACTCCAAAACCCCTCCTTCCCCCCCACAAAACGAAAATGGATAGAAATTAGAAAGATGAAAACAGAGCATCCAAAGACCAATCCAAATCCGAAACCCGTCCGTTTGTGCTGTGCTGGCGAATTCCCATCGAGCAATCCGCCAAAAAAATTCAGGTATTTGCCAGCCAAAAGTTGCAGTATTGGTCATTCTTCTCCCATCTTCCCCCTTTACTTCCCTCGGCTAGGGTTATGGCTGCAGTGCATGATGCACAATGAGTGAAGGCATTACCATAAGTTATGAGAAGTTTGTTGATATCAATAAAATTAATATCCGTGTTAAACTAATCGTAGTTGAAGTTATATCGATTCCGTAAAAGTTGGTGTTGAGATTTTGAATGGTGTGAATGAACATTAAAGGGAAAAGAGCCAAGAGAAATTCTTGAAGTACCACGTTGGTAAGATGTGTGAAGGCGTGGCGATTGCATATGTTTGCATAATTCCATGAACTTATACATGTTTTTGTGTTGATTTTCATGATCTTGTTTGTTACTTGTGTTGGAAAAATTAGTATGCGTGAACAATTTCCATAACAGTTGGTATCGCGACAGTTTTCCTTCTCAACCCTCACCACGAACTGCTGGTTTAGTTCCGTTTTAGGTGAGATTCATCGTGATGGATCGTGTGTTAATGGTGTCCCCCGGTTGGCATTCTTTGGAATAGCTACTACTAACAAATTGAGAGATGCATATGTATATGACGTCAGTGCATGAATTCTTTTGTATTTCTGCTCCAATATTGAGGTCGCGGTCGTGAGAAAATTTCTCAAAGAGCTTAAAGAAACCATCAACAAGTCTTCTTTACTCATAGTACTCCGTGGTTTAATTGCTATTCCTTGAGCATGTCATTTTTTGTTTATATTCTTCTCTATTTTTATGCTTGCATGTCTCGTTGCCTTTTGTTTTTCAGTTTCCTATTTATAGAGGAACACATCCGTTGGAACTAGAACAATGTTTGGGTGCCAAATGTGCCAAATGTTTGTCTTGATATGCGATGAAACTAACTATTGATGGGAAATATTGCCATGTCAATATGTCATCATCATCATCATGCCAGAGGGGTAGATGGACGTGTAACAACTATGCCGTGAAAGTGTAAGATAACACATAGAAATACTCGTGTTGTTCATATGGTTGGATGATTAGGAAAATCACCATGTCATCTCATCATGATTCGTGATAGAGAAGTAGATGGGTGTGCAACAACCATGTCGCGAACGTGTAGTACCTAGACACATAAAAATCGTCATGTTTTCAATATGATGTGATGATTTGCAAGAGTGGAAATCATGCTTGAGTGAGTGAATAACAAAACCATCACAACCTCACAATCAACGGTCAATTGGTCATGTTGGTCATCGGAACTGCACCACCATAGGGGATGACACATTTGACAGTTGAAATTTGTAAAGACCTCACTCTGATCGTTAACTCTTTTTAGTTGACATATACTAGCATATCTTCTATAATTGTCATTTCAACAATTTTACTAATGGTCATATCGGTATTTTTACGTGTGTTCGAAAACATGTGTTTTTCGGTTTCATACAAACTCTATGCCATTATATATTTTTGAAAGCTTTTATCGTAATTGGTTCAAGTATGTAAAAAGTTGTGATAAAAAGGTAGAAAAATACTCATGAAACCCACGCCATTCATATCCACGTGTCAAGTATCTTCTAGGTGTATTTATCGGGAAGAACACTACTACGATGCATTTGATATTTGATATGGGTGCGTTTGGTTCTCTTTATTTGAAGTTATCCCTATAACCTATTCCTAATTCCTAATTCCATATCCCATTTTTATTATAGCATGTTTTTCAACATTATTCATTCAAGAATTTTATTCAATCGAGCAACATATTTTTTTGATAAATAGCAACAAAAATCCTCCCTTTAATTGGATAAATAACAGTAAATTATGAAAAATAGCCTATTTATCATTGTATTTGTTACTTGATGATCATCATCATTGTAATCACCTATTTTTCATTGTATTTGTTACTTAATGATCATCATCATTGTAATTACAGTCCAAGTGCACTAAAATATTCTCTAATATTTAATAAATTGTATTATTAAACAACACTTCCATATCCATCCATCTAATTAATTTGTCTTGCCTGGGGAAACGATTAATCAAACCACCTTCTAATTTTCAGGAGAGAGAATTCGAGAACGAGCAGAGGGACAGAGTCGTCATTTTCCAGCACCTACCCTTCGTCTTCGCTCACTCACACTCTTGTTGGTATTTGCCCTCACCTTCGTTTATAAGTTAAGTGACCTTTTATTTTCAATTTTCCTTGAAATTCTCTCACATATAATTAGATCAGTGGGAGAAGGCAGCCGAGGCTTTTCGGTTTTCTCATTCCCTCAACCTTTTCTTCTTCCCCCATTCCTCTCTCTCTCTCTCTCTCTCTCTCTCTCTCTCTCTCGTTGTTCGTCTTCCGGGAAAGGCTCGGTGAGTGTGTGTGTCGATTTCTCTCTGAAACTCACTGTTCGTCGGCGGGGACTGTGACTGGGGTTTTCTTCGTTGAGGTTAGTTTCGGGTGTCAAGGCCGTGAGGCTCTTCGTTTCTGCTGTGTGTCTGCTTTTGTTTCCTGCTTCGTTGCTGGTAGTCGATGAGTTCCTCGTGTGCTCTGTTGGATGGATCTGCGTTTTTTTTCTTCTTCTTCGTTTTGAAGTTGTGGTGGTAGTTACACTGTGTCGATTTTGCTTGTTTAGCGCCATTTTGGGTTTGGAATTCCGGGGGAGAGTTGAGAGCCGTTTCGGTGGTTCTGGCCGTTTTGTTTTCGGCCTTCGAGGTTTGTAGTGGTAGGTGTAGTGTTCAGTGTTTGTTGATTGTTCTCGGAGTTTCTTAGGGGATCTTGTGTAGTGCCTGTGGTTTGAAGCTTCTAGGGTTTTGACCGATAACCGTCTCGTTGCAGTTAGGGGTTGGCTGACGCTGAAATGGGAGCTTGATACTGTTTGCTTCCTCGTGGGTTTGGTGGTCACTGCTTACCCATTTTGGTTTGCCTGTGAGTTGGCTGTGTCTTTGGGAGAACGATTTTCATTTTCTGCTGTGAGCTTCTGTGATTGTTTCCTTCAGTCCGTGTCAATATTTCTGTTTCTATTATTTAGATTGCTGACGTTTGATGGGTTCGGAGGCCAAGAATGGCCATGAAACTGTTGTTGTTTCTTGGGTTTGGTCACTGATTTCCCGGTTTGTTCGCTTGAGTGTTGGGTCCGACGGTATGTGCTTCTGTGCGCTATTTCTTTCATTCGGTGTAAATCTGTGTGTTCTACTCTGTGGGTGTTACGTTTGATGGGTTCCGAAGCTGAGAATGGCCTCATTTTAGGGGGGGTGTTGTAACCAAGATGAAGGATTTTGTTCTTGAAGTTGTTTCTGCTTCTGGTGTTTTCCTTTTACCATGTGAGGTTGGGGATGGGTGTCTTGAGAAGTGAGAGGTCAGTTGGGGGTTTCTATTATCTGCTGTCAGAATGCTGAAAACCTGTGGTTGTCATTCAGTTTTTGGAAGGCGTTGTGGTGAGAACGAAGGATTTTGTTCTTGAAACTGTTCCTACTACTGTTATTTTCTTTCTCCACCGTGATGCTGTGGATAGGTTCTTAAGTGAGAGTTCTGGTGGGTGTTATTAGTTTCATGATCTGCTGCGTTTGAATGGTGAGCGTTTGTAGTCTTAACAAGTGTGAGTTTGAGTGTGCATTATTAGCTTAGTTTATGATCCGTCTGAATGGTGTAAACTTCTGGTAGTAGATAAGTTTTTCTGGTCCGCCTGAATGGTGATCTCTTGTAGTCCATTTTTGTGGGTATAATTGCATTACTGACTTTGAAAGGTTTTTGTACAGGTTTTGAAAATTGAAATGGTGAGGAAGAGGAGAACTGATCATCCAGGTGGCGGTGAAGGCTCAGAGTCCTCACCTGGATCTGATCATGGCCCAGAGCAGCAGTCATCTGAGAGGAGTGGTCCACCTCAGCAAGGTGGTCGAGGTGGAGGTTCCCAAGGTGGTCGTGCCGCTGGTTACCTAGGTGGTCGTGGCGCTGGTTCCCAAGGTGGTCGTGGTGGAGGGCCTCCGTATCAGCAGCAAGGTGGACGGGGAGGTGGTTATGGCGGTCGAGGCCGTGGTGCTCCCCAGAACAATCCATATTATGGAGGGTCTGGAGAGTATCAAGGTAGGGGAAGAGGAGGGCCACCCCAGCAAGGTGGTCGAGGTTATGGTGGTGGTCGGAATGGTGGCCGTGAAGGAGGACCTCCTTACAGTGGACCATCTAGATCACAAGTTCCCGATCTGCCCCAAGCAACCCCACCACCTTTTCAAGTTGGGTTGAGCCCTCAGCCCAGACATACAGAGGCTAGCTCATCTCAGCCTCCTGACCCTTCAACAGCAGCAATATCACAGCAGGTTCAGCAACTAACGATTCAAGAAGAATCATCTGGCCAGGCTATTCAGGCTGCACCTCCTGCCTCAAGCAAGTCTGTCAGATTTCCCATTCGCCCTGGCAAGGGTACTGTGGGCTCAAGATGTGTTGTGAAAGCTAATCATTTCTTTGCGGAGCTTCCTGACAAGGATTTGCACCAATATGATGTGAGTTTCTGATGTATTTTATTTTGTGGTGTTCTTTACCGCTCTTTACTGCCCCTGGTAAACTAGATGTCTTGTGAATAGGTAACCATTACTCCTGAGGTTACTTCGAGAGGTGTCAATCGTGCTGTCATGAACCAGTTGGTCACATTGTACCGATATTCACATCTAGGAGAGCGTCTTCCTGCTTATGATGGACGGAAGAGTTTGTACACTGCTGGGCCCCTTCCTTTCACATCAAAAGAATTCCGTATCACCCTGATTGATGAAGATGATGGAACAGGCGGTCAAAGGTGTAATTTAGTTACTGTGTGATCTTTGTCTATTTCCTCCACTCCCCTCAATTACTAATGTCTCATATTTTCATGCAGGAGAGAGAGGGAGTTCAAAGTGGTAATAAAGTTGGCAGCACGGGCGGACCTGCACCATTTGGGTCTCTTTCTACAGGGAAAGCAAGCTGATGCACCGCAGGAAGCGCTCCAAGTTCTTGACATTGTCCTGCGCGAGTTGCCCAATGTGAAGTAAGATTAGTTCATCTTACTGTTCTCTGTTAATATCTTTCCATTACTAATTTTTCTCTTTATGGTATAGTATGCTGAGTGACATTGTCTTGTAGTTACACCCCAGTTGGGCGATCGTTTTATCATCCTGATATTGGAAGAAGGCAGCCTCTTGGTGAAGGTTTGGAGAGCTGGCGTGGTTTTTATCAAAGTATTCGGCCCACTCAAATGGGACTGTCACTGAATATTGGTATGTAACTCTTTGCATGCTGGATTTAACCCTTTGTGCCCATGTTTGCCAATTATGTGCTCTAACATCCACTTTGACTTCCTCTTACCTTAGATATGTCTTCCACTGCATTCATTGAGCCACTGCCGGTTATTGAATTTGTGACTCAACTGTTGAATCGTGACGTCTCCTCTAGGCCATTATCAGATGCTGACCGTGTGAAGGTTGGTGGTTTTAATTGTTGTAGTCCATTAATGTTCTTCTCTTTAACCTTCTATCCTTAATTTGTGGAGGCTGTGTGTGCTTGAAATTGTGGCAGCATTGTACATGAGGGCTGTTATAGTTGCTGAATGAGATCCCCAACTGTTCCTATTATTTTTTGCAGATTAAAAAGGCTTTGAGAGGTGTGAAGGTTGAAGTGACTCACCGTGGAAATATGCGACGGAAGTACCGTATATCTGGTTTAACATCACAGGCAACTAGAGAGTTGACGTTAGTACCTGTGCCTGCTTGCATGTCTATGATTGCAAATTTTTAATGTAATACATTCTTCAATTGTAAAGTGTGTTGTGTCATGATATTCTACTTGGTTTGTCTGTCTTTAGTTTTCCTGTGGACGAAAGAGGAACCATGAAATCTGTTGTGGAGTACTTCTATGAAACTTATGGCTTCGTCATTCAGCATACTCAATGGCCCTGTCTGCAAGTTGGAAATCAACAAAGGCCCAACTATTTACCCATGGAGGTAAGAAACATGTCTGTAATAATGGAGTTCAATGTTGAGTTCTGCTAGACTTGCTTATACTGTTCTTGACACAGGTTTGTAAGATTGTGGAGGGTCAGCGGTACTCAAAGAGGTTGAATGAGAAACAGATCACTGCTTTGTTAAAGGTGACCTGTCAGCGTCCCAAGGAAAGAGAGAATGATATTATAGAGGTAACTTGCAATGTAATTTTGCTAGCAGTTGCTTTTAAGATTCTGTTGACTAGCCAATTTGTCTTGTGAATTTTAATACAATATTTTCTTGCAATTTCTAGTAGCAGTGACTTTTTGAAGCACCTGTTTCTTGTACAACCAGGACTTTTTGTTGTTATTTCCATTATTGTTATTGTTATTCATTCTATTTCCAAGCTTACTCTTGATTTGGGTGGGAAGTATAATGTGATTTTCGTTTACTCTATAGATGGGAAGCTCTTTTCATGGCCCCTCTTGATTTTATTGATCTCAATATTGGTAATTTTTATTATGTAACTGGGTTCGGTACAAAATTAAGCTTTGTGGGACGGTGATCTAGTGCATAGAGTGTCGGGTGGGAATTTGAAAATACTTGCATGTGGTGGCTGTAACTAACTATGCTTTGTTGCATAGACTTGTTCGGAGAACTAGGTTCACTTTTTGCGATTTTAACAAATTAAACTTGGTTTTTGTAGACTGTCCGTCATAATGCTTATCACAAGGACAAATATGCGAAGGAGTTTGGTATCAAGATCAGTGATAGGCTTGCTAATGTCGAAGCTCGTATACTGCCTGCTCCATTGGTATTCTTCTTTTTTGACCTCCGGCCTTCTGTTTTTTTGTGTGTTTCTCTCTCAAGTTGTTTAATATGGGTGTTGTTTCCAGCTGAAATATCATGACACTGGTAGAGAGAAGGATTGTCTACCCCAAGTTGGACAGTGGAACATGATGAACAAGGTATGGTGTGACTTTGGTTTCTCTGATGAAACCTTTTCTATTGAAGCTTTTATACAACATTTCTCTCTGCTTGGCATCTATGAGGTCGATGAAGGTATTTTTTCTCCCTTGGAGTACCTCAATAGTTAGATGCAATCTATTTCTCTTTATGTATTATATTGAGGGAAACTTTAGTATGGCCTTTCAAGGTCTTATATAGATGCTCTACCCAAATGGCAATAAGGGGTTGGTAAATGGTTGGATGAGTTTGCATCACTGCATTTTGGATGCGGTACAAGATATATCTTTTGATAATTGGTAGGCCAAAATGTTCCTGGAGGCTGATGGTGAACTATAATGTGGTCCAATTTAACGCTTGGTCTCTTCAGTTTTGTTGGTTTCTGCTACTGGATGTAATGGTCATAGCTTTAGGGAATCGTGAGGTAGGATCTGTGTCAGGGACATAGATGATGCATGGATAAAATGCAAGGACTTCTCAAGGATACACATGACTTCTGGTAGAATAGAATGCACTATCTTTTATGTAAATAATCCGGAGAGCACGGGTTGTGGGAGTCATCTTCAATCTGAATTTTAGTAATCTCTTTGTTTGAGATTCATTTCGTACATTTCATTGGGTTGTGATAAGAATTCTATGCTCTGAATTCCTGTGTTGCAGAAAATGGTCAATGGTGGAACAGTGAACAATTGGATTTGCATTAACTTCTCTCGACACATCCAAGACAGTATGGCCCGTGGATTTTGTTATGAACTTTCTCAGATGTGTCAAACTTCTGGAATGGTAAGTAGTTTGTATACAATGTTCATTCATCTCCTGTGCTGGGCTTTCAAGATGTCATTGACTTATACAAAGTCTTCCTTTTCCTGGCATGGGTGGGTGTCCTGGTTTTAATTCTGTTTCTATCTGCAGCAATTTAACAGTGAGCCGGTGCTTCCTCCCATCAGTGGTAGACCAGAGCAAGTTGAGAGGGTGCTCAAAACGAGGTACCATGATGCTATGATGAAGCTGCAGCCAGTGGGGAAGGAGCTTGATCTGCTTATTGTTATCCTCCCTGATAACAATGGATCTCTTTATGGTATGAAATTTTTGCATCCAATGAGAACAGTTGAACTCTTTGCCTTATTTTTTTTTGTCCAACTTAGTTTGTCTCTCCTATTGCACAGGGGACTTGAAGCGGATATGTGAGACAGATCTAGGGCTTGTGAGTCAGTGCTGCTTGACCAAACATGTTTACAAAATGAGCAAGCAGTACTTGGCTAATGTAGCCTTGAAGATAAATGTCAAGGTTGGAGGAAGAAATACTGTTTTGGTTGATGCAATTTCTCGACGTATTCCTTTAGTTAGTGATCGACCAACAATCATTTTTGGCGCTGATGTTACTCACCCTCACCCTGGAGAGGATTCGAGCCCCTCAATTGCAGCTGTATGTACTGTTGTTTATTTCTTCCCGATACATTGTCTTGAATGCGGTTAAGCTTAACATTTGCTTCAATTGCTCTAATAAATTGTAGGTTGTTGCTTCTCAAGACTGGCCAGAGATAACTAAATACGCAGGTCTTGTTTGTGCTCAAGCACATCGCCAGGAACTCATTCAGGATTTGTACAAGTCCTGGAATGATCCTGTCAGAGGCCCAGTATCTGGTGGCATGATCAAGTATGCCTATCCATCTCTCCCTTCCTCTAAAAATCAATAGTTCAAGAAAGCTTGGATTCAAGTTCCTTATTGCTAGTCGCATTGTCTGTTTATCATGCATTTTATTGGGATGATTATATGAATTGCATGGTTGTGCAATTGTTTACATAACGTTTCATGTCCATTTTACTGCAGGGAGTTACTAATATCTTTCCGCCGCGCAACCGGTCAAAAGCCACAGCGTATTATATTTTACAGGTGGGTCTTTTGTTCTCTTGGTTATCTTGTGGTTAGATTTTTGTAGATTGCTAATTCATCTGTTTGCTTACAGGGATGGAGTTAGCGAGGGGCAGTTTTATCAGGTTTTGCTGTATGAACTTGATGCTATTCGGAAGGTAAATTCCAAGAACTCTGAAAGTACTCTTATTATATAATACACTTGATCTTGTATGTGCATTGTTCAACTCTGCTGGGGTTCCTCATGATTAGTTAGTCTGACTCCAGTTTCTGTTTTTTCATATATGAAGGCTTGTGCTTCATTAGAACCCAACTATCAGCCTCCAGTAACTTTTGTTGTGGTGCAAAAGCGTCATCACACAAGACTGTTTGCCAGCAATCATAATGATCGTAATTCCGTTGACAGAAGTGGGAATATACTACCCGGTAAATATGATGCTTTTTCCTCTGTTCATCTTCCTGGAAGGTTTACAGTAAAACCCTGAGGTTCGATGTCATGGTTCTTAAAAATCTTGTCTGACAGGTACTGTTGTGGACTCCAAAATCTGCCATCCAACTGAGTTTGATTTTTACCTCTGCAGCCATGCTGGTATTCAGGTGATGTTAATGTGCTCATAACTGCGGTTGAACTTTATACAAATTGCTACACAGGAATTTATTAGTTTCATTTTCCATACATCTAATGTTAGTTTTTTAAACAGGGGACTAGCCGTCCGGCCCATTATCATGTTCTGTGGGATGAGAACAAGTTCTCTGCTGATGCGCTGCAGTCACTGACAAATAACCTGTGCTACACGTAAGTTGTGAATTCCTTTTGGTCTGGAATATTTTGATGTGGTGAATTGTGGACCCTAATGTGAATTATTTTTGTGCAGATACGCCAGGTGCACCCGTTCGGTTTCTATTGGTCAGTTGCTTCCTCTGCTATTTCCTTTGATGCTGTAATTGGTTTTAATGTTCATGACAAGTCTTTTTTGCATGAAGTTTATTGTCGTAACAAAAATGTCTTCCTGTCTGTCCGACTCTTGCAGTGCCACCAGCGTACTATGCTCATCTTGCTGCCTTCAGAGCTCGTTTCTACATGGAGCCAGAGTCATCAGACAGTGGCTCTATGACCAGTGGGACTCAAGATTTTGGTCGTGGAGGTCCAGGAGGCGGGAGGGCTACTCGTGGCCCTGGTGCCAATGCGTCTGTCAGACCATTGCCTGCACTGAAGGAAAATGTGAAGAAGGTTATGTTCTACTGTTGAGTGGCTTTTCAAATGGTAATTAAGGAGAGGGGAGTGAGTGAGTGCGCTGAGGGGTGGAAGAACAGATGTTTTGCAGTCGGTTGCATTTTACTTTTTAGCAGAGAGTATTGTCGATAATTTGTGCCTGCTCATGCTCTTGCTACTGGTTTGATCTAATGAGCAGTGTGCTCTTTTGGTTTATGTTGGGCATTGTACGCTCGGATGCATTGCTATGTTTATACTACCGAATTGGATATTGTTGTTGGTCTCTTATACTACTGAGAATTTACATGGTGCAGTTGTTTATTATGTCGAATGTTACCTGCTTTGCGCGAGTCATGTTTCGGTCACTATCGTTATTTACCCATTAGACCTCAAATGTTCAGAAGTGTATACGTGAAGAACGAAAATAGGATTGAATTTACATGATGCAATGTATACCAGCCTTGTAGGAAAGTGGGGACAGAAGAAAGGCATATAATATGTACGAAAAGTATAACAATCAACACTCAATAAAAGCCTTTGCAAATAACATGGGGAGCACCTTTTCCCTTCACAAAATTCCTTAACCTCCACTTTGGACATGGGAGACACAATTCCATGGCAATCTCTGATGGAATGGCGACAAAGATTTCTTTTTTGCTTCTGTCAGTCATATTTCTGCGTCTGTTTTTTTATTCCTTGCCTAAACCATTCTTCCTCCTCTGTCTTTCTTTATTTCCACTCTTTCCAAAACCTCTCAACACACCATTCTCTCTTTTGATCAGATGGCTTTCTCTCCCATATGTATATATACACAACCCCCCTCTTTGCATGAACCTCAACAAAACAACACATTCAAATATCAGACACCTTTACCTTCCGCTACTGAAACCAGAAGAGGGAAACAAAGCCAACCCACAACAATGGCAAAGCAACCATCTTTGAAGAGATCAGATTCCATTGCTGAGACCATGCCCGACGCGCTAAAACAGAGCCGCTACCATACCAAGAGATGTTTCTCCAGGTAACTAAGAAGTGGAAAAAGAGCTTTTTTTTGGCACCACTTTCTCCCTGGTCACAAATAAGATATATGTTCTGACTTTTCTTGAACTCCCTTTTTGTCATCATTTGATAACCATGACGTGACAAACAGGTTTCTGGCAAGCGGGAAGAGGCTGATGAAGCACCAGAACATAATGGAGGAACTGGAAGCGACGATCCAAGACAAGGGTGAAAGAGACAAGGTGTTGGAAGGGCTTCTCGGCTACATCCTGAGTTGCACTCAGGAGGCAGCCGTGGTGCCACCTTTCGTTGCATTCGCGGTGAGGCCTAACCCTGGCGTGTGGGAGTATGTCAAGGTCGGGGCTGATGATTTGAGTGTAGATGGCATCTCCAGCTCTGAATACCTGCAGTTCAAAGAAACGATCTACGACGAAAATTGGTACACCTCTCTGTTCTCTATGGTCTATGATCTCAAGGCTTGAACTCAAGGTGTGGTTTATCATTCTCGTATTATCAGCGAGCCCACCATGGTTGAAGAATGATTTGTTGTTCACAAGCATTCTCAAAATACACACATCGTAAATATTGTTTCGAGTTCTACTCTAAGAAAAGTTGTCAATGCTCTACTTTTGTGTGCAGGGCAAAAGATGAGAATGCACTGGAAGTGGAGTTTGGAGCATTTGATTTCTCTTCCCCTCACCTTACTCTTTCATCCTCCATTGGAGATGGAGTCAAGTACATCTCAAAATTCTTGTCACCAAAGCTTGTTGCTAGCTCCCACTCTTCAAAGAAGTTGGTAGACTATCTAATAGGCCTCAACTACCATGGAGATGTAAGCAGCACATTATCAGCACTAGCATATCATTTGGGAAAACAGAACAGAAGGTTGATTATTTGAACATCAATATATATGTGCAGAACCTTATGATAGATGAGACATTGGACACACCATCAAAGCTCCAAGGAGCATTGATAGTAGCTGAATGCTTTCTTGCATCACTTCCACAAGACACACCATGCCAGGATTTCCACCAAAGCCTGAGAGCATGGGGATTCGAGAAGGGATGGGGGGACACGGCTGGAAGGGTTAAGGAGACGATGGTGATGCTCTCCGAGTCGCTTCAAGCACCCGATGGAGAGAAATTGGAGCAGCTGTTCAGTAGGATTCCAAACATGTTCAACATTGTCATCTTCTCCCCACATGGATTCTTTGGTCAAGCTGATGTTCTTGGGTTGCCCGACACCGGGGGCCAGGTCTAAGATTCTTCTCTTTTCAGAAACCATGCTAAGTTTTCTTTCTACAATATTCCATGAGAAGCTATGATCTGATATACATCAGTATGGTGTGTTTCTTTAAAAGGTGGTTTACATTCTTGATCAAATGAGGGGATTGGAGGAGGAATTGCTTCAGAGGATCAAACTGCAGGGACTTAACTTGAAGCCGAAGATCATTGTGGTGAGCTTCATTGCGACTTCTGATGATGGGTTAATCATGAGCAAGCTCATTCCTTCATTTCTTTAGCTGATTGTATAATTTCTGATGTGGTTTCAGATAACAAGGCTGATACCAGAAGCTCGAGGCACGAAATGCAACCAAGAAGTAGAGCCAATTGAGAACACGAAGCACTCTTACATTCTCAGACTTCCTTTCAAGACAAGTAAAGGGACTATCTTTCCACATTGGCTTTCTCGTTTCGATGTGTATCCTTACCTCGAGAGATTCGCTAAGGCAAGTGACTTGCATTGCTCTCCTTAATACCATTTCTTCATGCCTGGTCTTTCCATTTTGCTGACCATCAACCTATATATCGATTAGCAGGATGCTGGTCGGGCGATTGTTGAGCACACAGACGGCAGACCAGACCTCATCATGGGGAACTATAGTGATGGGAACTTGGTGGCCACTCTTGTGGCCAGGAAACTTGGAATACCTTTGGTCTGATCACACTCCTTTCTTTAACACGAATCAAGTTAGTCAGTTTTGAGATGAACCCTTGCTGATTCTTGATCCTTATGATGCTGGTTGTTGTTGCAGGGGACAATTGCTCATGCTTTGGAGAAAACGAAATATGAAGACTCAGATGCCAAGTGGAAGGAACTCGATCCGAAGTACCATTTCTCATGCCAATTCACAGCTGACATGATTGCAATGAATGCAGCTGATTTCATCATCACCAGCACTTACCAAGAAATTGCTGGAAGGTTTGTTGGTTCTTTCCTTTTACAACAAGTTATCTATATGTAGATACCAAGAAATCCAAGTGAACAAATTTGCTCCTTTTTTACGCTTGTTCAGCAAGGAAAAGTCAGGACAGTATGAGAGCCACACCGCTTTTACCATGCCAGGGCTATGCCGAGTCGTGTCAGGAATCAACGTTTTCGATCCGAAGTTCAACATTGCTGCACCTGGAGCTGATCAATCTGTCTACTTCCCAAACACCGAGAAGTCGAGAAGGCTGACCACTTTCCATCCTGTCATTGAAGAGCTGCTCTACAGCAAGGATGAGAACAATGATCACATGTAAGTTAGTTTTACCAAACTCTTATAGCTCACATGTTCCTATATTGAAACAAAACTAATCAATGCTTATGAGATTGAATGATCAGTGGGTATCTGAATGATCCGAAGAAACCGATAATATTCTCCATGGCGAGGCTGGACACAGTGAAGAACGTGACAGGGCTCACAGAGTGGTATGGAAAGAACAAGAGGCTAAGGAACTTGGTCAACCTCGTCATAGTTGGAGGATTTTTCGATCCATCGAAATCAAACGACAGAGAAGAGATGGCTGAGATTAAAAAGATGCATACTTTGATGGAGAAGTACCAACTGAAGGGACAAATGAGATGGATTGCAGCTCAAACCGATAGGTACCGAAATGGAGAGCTCTACCGTTGCATTGCAGACACCAAAGGAGCATTCGTGCAACCTGCATTCTACGAGGCGTTTGGTCTTACAGTGATCGAGGCCATGAACTGTGGACTGCCAACTTTTGCAACCATTCATGGAGGGCCTGCAGAGATAATTGTCGATGGGGTCTCGGGCTTCCACATTGATCCTTACAACGGAGATGACATGGGGAACAAGATTGCCGAGTTTTTCGAGCAATGCAAGGCGGATCCTGCTTATTGGAATCAAATGTCAGCTTCTGGTCTTAAGAGAATCAACGAATGGTAATGTAGAACTAGCAATTTTCCAGTAAAGCAACATAAATGTTTCCAAAAGATGTTTAAATTGCATTAAAAAAATCACTCTGCATTGCATTGGATTTGCAGCTATACTTGGAACATATATGCAAAGAAGATGATAAACATGGGGTCAATCTATGGATTCTGGAGGCAGTTCAACAAAGAAGAGAAGCTTGCTAAGCAAAGATACATTCAGACGTTTTACAACCTCCATTTCAGGACACTGGTGAGGTTACTTTAACCTCAAGTAATTATAGCTCCTTGCACAGTTCAAGTTTATTATGACAAATAGGGTTTCTTAGTTACCTCACCATGCCTTGCAGGTGAAGAAAAGTTTTGGGTTGAGTGATGAGCCATATATAGAAGCAGAAGAAGCAAATGGAGCCATACACAAATTTGTGCCATCTCTAGTCCCATCCCTACCTCCTCCAGCAATCACAACCCACTCACAACAGAAAGAACCAAAACGCAAAGAGGGTGTCACTCCACCTAAACCAATCATTGCAAGGCATGTCCAAACTTAATTCCTCTATATTCAAGATTACACCTTAATGATGTCTAGAGCAGTTCTGGATAACTCACATTATGAATGTCTTTGTAGGCCCGGAGGTTCCATACTCGAGAGGCTAAAAGTAGGCAATCCATCGGTAGCTGATAGGGTTGACGGTGTGAATGGGGCAATGAGTAGATCTCGAAGCCGAAAGTTCTTCCGGATGTTATCTATGTTTATAGTGGCTTATGCGCTCGTCAGAGTGTATTATTTATTCAAGTGAAGGTGGCAACTTGGAAAGCAAGCAAGTAAGCAAGCAAGAAAGCATGGTTGTAAATGAATAATGTACTTGTACGCTATTTCTCCACTGACATCAATAAAGATGATGACTTAACTCAATATATCGATTCTGAAAACAAGCTTTGCAATTGTAACTGCATTTCTAATGGTAAATTGTATAGCTTTGTTCAGCTTTGCAATTGTAAATTTGTAACTGCATTTCTAATGGTCCAAAAATCTACTGAAACAGAAGTGAAGGAGACAACAACACTGAACAAAGACATACGATAGCCATCAAGCTTAACCTTTAGTGAATCCATTGCGAGAATATATTAGTTAACCTAAACTCTAATTCACATTGCTTAAAATAAAAAAATCCCACCTTACGTTTGGTAATGGAATATTTATCCATGTATAACTTTTGGGGACCAAATTGCACTTAGCGATATTGTTTTTGGTTATTTCGGTTTGAGCCAAATCAATTAAGAGAGCACTCCCAAATAATTGACTTAGATTTTCTGATGAATGCAGATAGAGAGAGGAATTGAGAGGGGATTGAAACCGCGGCATGGATGATCATGTCTTTGCTGATAATCCCAATTTGCATTCATATTGATTGTCACATGTTGTCACTTGTGCTGAAATAAGATTGTTCCACGATGGCCTTGAAATGTTGGGCTATCATTGTACAAATCTCCTACATTTTACAATATGCACGATGGACCTGGGGTCGAGTTTATTCCTCAATGCTTGAATAAGCTTGAAGATTGGGTGGCTCGCGAAACTAGGGTGGTTTCATTACCAGTGGATTGAATTTAGTTATCAATATTATTGCTCCATTATTGTAATGAAGCATTTGTTTCTCGATCCAGATGGAATAAAAAGAAATTTTCTCATGCATACACACCCATAATAAAAATGAAAAATAATTTGTGATAAGCAGGGATTCCAACGACGCATTCATGGGCATTTCGGGGAAAATATACGACTCTTGAGTAGTAAATTTTTCACCCAAAAATTGAGACCTTCAAACAGATATATATATTATCTACTGCATGATAATTGATTTTTGTTAAATTCAAAACTAATGAATACATTTATACGTTAAAAATAATATTCCATTACACCACAATTTCTCAACTTCATCCAAACCTTGAAAGCAAAACCGAATTACTTTTCTTCTCTTCTCTCCTGACTTCTTTTTTTACAAATAAGCATCAGTCTATGAATGATTTATTATTGAAATACATTTATTGAACATTGTATACAACAAATATATTTTCATAATTTTTCATAAAAGATAAAAAGACTCCTCAAGATATTTTGAAAGAAGTGTATTATTGTTTCCTTTTGTTAAATATGTGCATATAGGATGATAACACACTATAGTGTTAGTACCCTACTAACACTTTTAATAAGATTATTTTGGTAACTGCCCCTTCCCTTTTCCGTCCCTCCCCCTTCTTTGTCTCGTCTGCATGATCTTGGTCTCTTCACCCTCTCCACCATCGAGCCCCCTGTCTCTGCCAATCCTATCTTGGTCACCGTCGATTCCTTTCCCTGAAACTGAGCAATTATTACCACCATTGTGTTGCCCTAGGAAGGATTGTATTACTAGCTCAATACTGTTGCCGGCTCAAATCTCACGTGGAGGCGAGTTTGTCGATCGGGAGGAGGAAGAAAGACGCAGAGGGTTACATGGTGGAGAACTAGATCCATGGCCTGACCTCCTCGTCGACCACATAGCGGAGGACACTACATACAACATAGAAAGCGAACGAGTACATCGCCATCTTCTTGCTCATGGGAGATAGATTTTGCGCAGCGGAGTTGATCTGAGGATCTAAAGAGAAAGTTTATTGAAAGATGAGGGGGAGGAGTAAGGCAAAGGTTGGGATAAGAGACCAGTTGTTAGGAATATATATTAGTAGTGTTATGATTAGTAGAGTTAGGCAGCTAGGTATAGCCGAATGGGTTAGGGTTAATTGTTAGGGTTTTGGGTTTATATCCTATAAATATGTACTTTGGGTTTACGTCATAATCAGTTAAGAATAATATTACAGAAAGTATCTCTCAAACCCTAGCCTCTAATCCTTCTCAAATCTCGTCCCTCTCTTCCATAAAGGATGTCGGCCATTCTTCTATCTCAACCCCAATTCTGTTCTTCAATCCCTAATCCCCAATTCTCCTATCTAAATCCCTAATCTCAACCCTAAATCCCAATCTCACGAGTGCCGAAGACTAGCCCCTAGAATCCCTAGAAGCGGGGTTCTTTCAGTGGTATCAGAGCCCGATTACAAGCACTCGTACCGGAGCCATGTCGAGATTCAAGGAACTCTTGATCAGCGAACTCACAAGGATTTTGAAGTCAAAGTTGGACGAGATGAGGAGAAAAAAGGTTACCATGCCCTCGCTGCTGTCCGGGAACGTTGAGCGGAATACTCAACTCAAAGATGCAGCCGCCGCGTCGAACAAGCCAACTGTGGCGGTCGAGAAGACAGTTGCAGGGACAGCTGCCCCCCTGCGACACCACCGACACCATCACCATTACCTGTTCCTTTATCCGACGCCAAACAGGAGAAGGCGAACGAGCTACCGGTTGAGACGACTGCAGCCACCGAGCCGCCAAACCTGGAGGAGCTGGCGCGAAGCGTTGAGCGAGGACGAGAAGTTATGACGCCTGTCAAAGGCTGTACCGCTAAAGAGGCAGTGCGTGTTGAAGAATCGCCACCAAGTTCACCATCAATCGACGTCATTCTATCCTTGACCACCATCAATGTGCATCACCAGAGACCTCAAGCAGGTCGGACAGGAAGGAAGAATCGGGCGGGAAGGAGGCTCGATCGGATCTGGAATTGGGGGAGAATTGGAAATTCAGGAAGAAGAAGTTGGAAGAAGGAGTGGTTGACGGAGAAGTCCCGACATCGACAACGAACAGACCGGCCAAAAACCTGTTCCCCAGGAACTCGGAGATTAGGAAAACGCGGACGAAGCTTCACGTCAGAAGCGACCGACAAGGAGAAGCAGACGTGACGAATCACCGGGATAGCCAGTCGAGGGCTCAAGATGAGCAAAGTGAACCAGGGTCGTTGGCGGGTCCAGCCGGCGGTTGGCAAAAGCCCCAGTAGACCTCGGCGTCGCGACACCGCCCGGAGCAAGCTTGACTTGCCGCCGGGAAATTGGTTCGCCAAAGAGGAAGTGGCCGGCAAAGGAGCCTCGCGGCCGACGACGCGAAGCAGAGCTGGGCCGAGGGATTGGCTCGCCGACGTCACCAATCGAGCAACTGGCTCCGCAATCGGCAACGGATTCTCGAGTGGTGACGACAGACGGTTTGTCGATGGAGGAGAAATCGTCGGAGAAGAGAATCGCGCCGCGGGAGCTTACGAAGGTGGAGAAGGTGGCGGCGAATTCGGGCTAGCCGCCTGGCCTTCGACGCGACCGAGCGCCGCCGGCAAGGGAGACGACCGACAAGGAGTCGGGGCCGGAGAGTGAGGCGAGACAGCTGCCGTCAGGGAAGAAGATGGGGGCTGGCGGCGGCGCTCCTTCATCGTACGAGCAACATGCCTTCTTCCCCTGCCAAGATCCGCAACCCTACAATCTTCATGGGCTAGAGTTCATGGGCAAAGAGGTGGATCGGACCGCTGGGTCGGATGGATGCTCGGTTGGGCTGCAATTTGAGCATAAGCAAGGTGAAAAGGAGCTTAGTAATGGGCCAAAATTTGAAGAAGTTGAGCCCAACTTGTGCTGGGTTTTAAAGAAGGCAAGCTTAGAGGAAGTTCTTGAGTGGGTAGATAGGCTCGCAAGGGAACCAAGCCCACATGAAATTAATAAGGAGAAGAAGAGTATATCTTTATTCCAAGCAAATGTGGCCCGAGTCCAAGCCCAAGGAGGAGAGAGTTGTGTGGTGGGAAATATGGAAAAGGGTCTTGGTTATGGGCTGGCAAAGAGGAAGGAAATTAGCTGGGCTCCAAGAGATGTTGGGTCGCCTGTGTGTTGTCTTTTAAAGAAGGGGGATGAGTTTCTTATGTTGGAAGATGGGCTTATAAGGGATTCAAGCTCAAACGAAATTGAAAAGAAAAATACAAAGGGGCTTCATTTGGGCCAATGCTCTTTCTTTCAACCAATTGTGGGTCAAATTCAAGGTGAAGGAAGGGAAGATTGGGTTATTTTAACCAACAAGCTCATGAAGAAACTTGGGGAGCCCAAGAACGAACAATTCTCCGATTCTTATTTCGTTGATTTCGAAAAGGAAGAGGGTGGATCGTTCGGCTATGAAGAACGTGACACATGTCACGTGGGTGGAGAAGAGACAAGGAAAGTTAGAGTTGCACAAGAAGAGTTCACTCAAGGGATCGAGCGCAATTGGAAGCGACGAAAGCGGAAGATCTAGAAGGTCGCTTTCAAGGAGGGTGGAATGTTAGGAATATATATTAGTAGTGTTATGATTAGTAAAGTTAGGCGGCTAGGTATAGCCGAATGGGTTAGGGTTAATTGTTAGGATTTTGGGTTTATATCCTATAAATATGTACTTTGGGTTTACGTCATAATCAGTCAAGAATAATATTACAGAAAGTATCTCTCAAACCCTAGTCTCTAATCCTTCTCAAATCTCGTCCCTCTCTTCTCTAAAGGCCGTCGGCCATTCTATTATCTCAACCTCAATTCTGTTCTTCAATCCCTAATCCCCAATTCTCCTATCTAAATCCCTAATCTCAACCCTAAATCCCAATCTCACGAGTGATGAAGACCAGCCCCTAGAATCCCTAGAAGCGGGGTTCTTTCACTAGTGATATCGTGGTGTGCTTTTATAAAATTGTGGTATACTTTATGAAATTTCTATTATGCCTCAGTGAAATTGTGATCTAATTTAATAAACTTGTGGTGTGCTTTTATAAACTTTTGGGTTGCTTTAATGAACTTGTGGCATGCTTTACTGAATTTGTGGTATGTTTTTTGAAATTCTGGTATACTTCAGAGAATTTGTGGTACGCTTTAAGAAATTTGTGGTATACTTTACAAGCTTTTTTGCATTTGTGGTGTAGTTTATGACTATTTTTTCCAATGAATGGATGAGCTCTTATTCATCTTATACGATCAATACAACAATATCTACAAAACCTGTACAATACCTGACAACTTCAG